GGGGGGGGGATGGGGACACATTTGGCGCTTGCCTCGGTCTCTGGGCCATGGACCATAGGCGGGAGCTCCACTTCGAAGTCGACGGGAAAAAAATGAAACGACTTCGTATGCCGCAAGGAACGCAACAACCACAACGTGCAGAAAAACTGACCTCGGGCAAGACATACCGGGTTTGAACCAATCCTCCTACGAGCCACTCATGTCTTTCGTCTCGCGAGGCACCCTTATTACAACAACACGCTCTGAATAAAGAAGGCAAAATCCCCAGCGTTGTAATGTACGAACAACCGTATCCTCACCAAGGATAGGGTCCCACGGTTTCTCTGCGGATTCGGGGTTTCCCGCGAGTGGTGGGGCGGCGACCTCGCAGATGTCCTTGACTGGTTCGCAGTGCCCGTCCAACACATGCAGAACCGTAAGCTTGTCCACGTCCCACACGATGATTTCATGGTTGAATTCGTTCACGCCCCAAGACGTCAGGACGTCCATGGAACGGCAGAATCGGAGCCCCACTTGCACGTCCCTCAGGCGGGTGTGTCGCAGCAGCTTACAGGTTTCCAAATCCCACACGGTCAGATACCCGTCGGCGCAAGATACTGCTGCTTGGTTGTCGCGCCCGATGAAGTCCATTGCAAGAACCGCCATGCTCTCCTGTTTCATGTAGAGAGGTGTGTCACAAAGATATGACACTATTTACTTTCAGCCGTTCGGGTGGTAGAAACGCATTTGAAGCCGGTGCGCGTTTCAAGATGCCGTGCCTGTTAGGGAGATATATTCTGTGCTGCCAGATAGAGCACCTTGCGATGGAGACTAGCCGCAACTGTGTAGATTGTTACACCGAAGCCATGCATCAGGCGCAAATCGTCTGTGAGGGTTATTATCGGCCGTTGCAAACCCGTCCGTGAATACACCCCGGCCGTAGTAGGGGTACAAGAAGAGCTTCCTGCGATGGCATCGTCTTGGTTGGTGATCTTTGATTCTTGTTTGTCTGGTTGTTGTCCTCGACCTCGCGTGTCGAGCGAGAGCGATGGGCTCAATCTGTCTATCTCTGGGACATCTGGAGTCTCATTTCCGCTTGATGTACCATAGATATGGAAGTCACCGTCCAAAATGATCCTATCTCCCACATGCCTGTCGAAAATGGCCCCCCCTGGTCACATTTGGTATCGACGAAGAGATTGGAACTCTCACGGGCATAGTCCAACGGCATATTTCATGGTAATGTAGCATTTGTTGTGTTGATATTCTTGGGTTTTATTAATGTTGCTACACTGATTGCAATTTTGCAGGCAGTTGGCCTGTGACCACGGAAGACGCTGTAACAGTACGAATGTTTGAAGGTACTCAACGTCAAGACAGTAGCAACCAAACCCCATCCCCACGTCCGCTTGTTGTGCATGTTGCCGGTACAGCGGTACAGCAGCATTAAACCCACCTCGGTTCCGTTCGCGGGTGGTAGAGCACTCGCCGCTCTATGAGTAGCACTCCGAGACTTTCCCTTTGGTCCCGCTATGCGTGTGGACCGCTTGGTGTCTATGATGAGCTTTCGCATGGCGATAGCGGGCTCGATCTGTCGCACTTTGAGCGGCCCGGGAGTGTAGATCTTGAGTATTGCTGTTCCCTCAACAACCACCAGGAGTTCTAGCCTCTTCACGAAACGCATGCTTCGAATCTGGGTGGAAGTTGAGTTAAAAGATTGAAGGGAGGTTGCGGAACAAACGACGAGGTAAAAAGATTGAAGGCGACTGTCAAAGTGGTACAGTCTACGAGACATTGGATGTGGAGGTCAGTCTACGGCGCGGTCAAGAGACCCAGCATTTCCTTCAATATAACCACATAAACTGCACTACCACAACTTAAAAGAACGAACCTCATGGCAGTGGGAGCTGCGATCGGTGTACCCCAACTTCTCAACGAAACGAGTCATGCCGCCTTCATGACCCTCACGTGCTCCCGTCGCTGCGCCTTGTTCGTCAACCTCGAGCCCTTGGTTCCCAGAATCACGCCCCCTCATGTACACGCAAAAGTCGGTGAGGTGTTCCCAATCGACAACCCCGAGTGAATCAACATCCACTAGATCGAAAAGGATACACATCCTTTCCACGAGTTGCCGAGTCTCGGATTGATTTCTACCTATCGGCCCATGGTCGGCGCTTGGCCTCAGGCAGACGGCACGGTAGAACTCTGCTACGAATTCGTCCAACGTTATCCGTGAGCGCTTGTGGGGACCTCTCGTTGCAGTGATAGGCTGCAGGGCGCGCCGGAGCACCGCGAGAGTGCCCCCGTCTAGTATCCACAAAACATCCATTGTCCATACCACGCCAGGAAGAGTGCAGAAGAACAGCAAACAAGAGCTGCCCCTGGTGGCACAGGTCACAGCAGTCGGTGAGCTAGTCTGTATATCATGTCTATGGCTATACCGCCAGCCTTCGTCGAAGCCCCGAGGTTCGGCCGCACACCAGATCTGCAGAACTGTTTATACACGCGCATGTGTTGCGCAGAAGGGAGAGCCAGCTTGCCCAACGACAACTTCCAGTGTCGTCGCAAAATCGTCGGCTCGTCAAGAGGATCGGCATGAGGCATGGTGCATGCGGGGCACCCGCACTGGAAGGAGGTAATGTTTCAAGTTTGTGCCGAAGGGGAAAATGCTCATGATTGGGCGAGGTGGACAGTCCCGAAACGCCAAGAGAAAAAAGCCATGCTGAATTGAAACCACGGGCAACAGCAGCAGCAGGCGGCGGTTGTGTAGGTTGGTTGTTCGTTTTGGCGCGCCACACACAAGGGGGGAGGCAAGCGAGACTAGGCATGTCTCAAAGCAAGAGGAAGGCATGGGATGCCACTGTTCAAGCCAGCGGGCATGTCCCAACGCGTACAAAAACTAAACGGGCTTCAGGTGAGAGACCTCACACAAACACAACTGCGACAGAGAGCCAGCGGATGCGTGTAGTCATGACCACAAACCGCTCAAACGGGAGTGGGAGGCTGTGCAAAGGCAGCGAAGTATCCCATCGAAAGCGCTACTGACGAGTACTCAAGGAGTTGTAGTGCATGCCATTTTGACCTAAACTGTTGCGAGTCGATGACAAAAGACAGCCACCGACCCCCCCTCTACCTGCCCCCGCCACCGCCTTGCTAGGACGTACGGTGGTGCTCAGTAAGTCGATGCGCGTTGTGGATGAAGAAACGAGAAATCAGGTTTGTGCATGGTGGATGTGACCGTAGAAGAGAGACACGGAGACCGCGATTGCGGATACGAGAAGGGGCTACCGGACGGTGGTGTTCTACAGCAGCAGCAGTACAGCAGTAGGCTACGACTTGACGGTGAAACCACCAGACCAAGGGGCAAATAGCACTTGAGATAGAGGCAATAGGGCATGCCACGCGTTCTCTGCATTATAGATACATTGGAGGGTGCCCCAAGTTGTCACAATCGAACAGCCGCATGTCGCGTTCTGTTGTGGTAACACGGGGTTTAGGCAAAAGTGAAAGCACGACAACTATTTGCCCTGTTCGCAACACCGCAGAAATGGTGCCGTCCTCTTCAGATACATGAACCGGTATGGGCGTTCGATCACGCAAGTGATCCTCCGCTGCTGCTGGGCTTGTCGTCTTTCGGCGTTTTCTCATTCACATTGTTCCGACCAGGACTGTTGCTGCGGTGCTACTGTCTTAACCCTCCCGCCGAAATGTGACAGGTCAAGGACGCGCGTCTAGAAGCGTTGGAAGCGGATAACTACACCGAAGACCACGTAAGAATCGTTGAGAACGCTGCCCCTTTGTCCTGTGAAGCTGGTTCCGTTCCGTCCGTGCGTTGATGTTGTTGCCCTCGATAAGCGGAGTTTCTCAGCCTCATTTCGACGAGGTCGCACGGCCATGCCTTTTTCCTGTGCTGTTTTCCCTCCACGTGACCTCCGGACGAAGGGTGGTAACGCTCTGGCGTGCCCGGCGGGAAACAGCAACATCTCTAGGGAGTTAAAGCCACAACGTTTAGAGTAACGCCTGGGCACCTATAGTACAAAGTAGGTGTCGTTCAACTTCCACCCCCCCCTCCGAGGTCAATGGTCTAACGACTACGGCATGCACGACTATGAGCACACCCCCTCCCTCCTTCTTCCTTCCACATCCTGAACAGGTTTCTGAATAAGGAAAACGTCGCGATCGCGAACCCCGTAGCCAGAACGGCCCAAAACACCCTGCATCGATATGTTGTCGCTAGTATAGTATATGTCCACCCACCGCCACAAGTGCTATTTGTGTTGCTCTATAGGGAGGAGAGCAGGATGACGAGTTTGCCTTGGATGAGGACGACGAACGAGGGGACCGGCCGCGGGGCAGGAGCAGGGCGGGTAAGGCCCCGGGCAACAAGAGCAAGAACAAGGGAGAGAAGGACCCTTGGTGAGGGTACGGCAGCGTGTTGGTTGCGGCTCACGCGCCTGCTCCTGTCGCTTGGGTGGTTGGTCGTTAAAACGGACGGTGGCAGTGGGGGCTATGTAGTCGTGCGGGAGGAAGTTTTCTAGTGGTGCGTGCGCCGTTTAGGTCGAAGCTGGGAGATGCTGCTATAGTTCGTTTAGACGGGTTGTGACTTCTACACGAAATTCTGCACGAACTGCATCGCACACGTTGTCTGGAAGCTGCAATGGGCTACAGCAGTGGTCAGGGCCGCCGAGTGTGTGTATGTGGCCACTCCGAATTCCACGGCGTTGCCCGTCAGGACATTAGGCGTCCTCCCCGAACCACAATGTGAAACAACACACAGCAGTAGTTGGACTTCACCCGGTTATTGTTGTACACCAGCGCCTGGCGTATGCTCGCCCGCTCTACATTCAACCTGATGTCGCTCTAAAATGATGCGCATGTCCCCCGCGATACCCCTCTGTCTGCCTCTTGCTAACCACATATTCACTGCGACCGCAATGAATCCAGGAAAGAGCGCAAGTTCAAGAGCCTGCACCAGGTCCTCTACGAATTGGTAAGATATTCCTTGCACGCTGTTCTCGCAAGAGCCACCAAAAAGCGCCCCTCATGTTGCCGTTGCACGTAGAGAACGTGGTTGGTGGTGGAGAGTTAGTCCCCCCGCATTGCGCTCGCTTTCGGACGGAGTCGAGGCATGGTGATATACGTAGCTTGTGAAAAGAAAATTCCCTGGCAAGAGGAAGTCCCACCGGCAGAGAAACGTTGTTGCGAAGATCGGTTTTGCTGAAAACGGAGGTGGCTGGGGATACTCGATGCAAATAGAACCCGCCCCCCGTCCTCCCTCCTCCTCCCCTCACTTGCTTGCATGCTGGTTGATTGTTTGTTGTGCTTTCCCCTCCTCTCCGTACAGACGAACGAACTCTCGGCGTATCCGGGCGGGGCGACGGCTGTGAGCATCGAGGCGCCGGTGTCGAAGCACCCGCCGCGAGCGTTCTGTTCCGTGTGCGGCTACCACGGACTGTACACGTGCACGCGGTGCGGGTCTCGATTCTGCAGTTCCAAGTGCTGCGAGCAGCACAAGGAGACGCGTTGTCTCAAGTTCGCATCGTAGATTGTATTCCGTATAATAGAGTTGTAAAGCAGCGGTAGGGATGCCGCGTACCCACGCAATCTGGATGAAAAATAGGTGCCGGTGTTAAAGCAGTTGCAAATCTGCCCTTTTCCGGCGGTACACGGCACTCAGGTTCCTGTTTTGAGTGTCGCATTCTGTGTATTGAGAAGGGTGAATGTCTCCTTCGCGGGGAGGGGGGCGTCGGTTTTTCCCCAGGGAAGTGTCGGCTTTCCCAAGGGCCAATGCACGACAAATCGAAAAAAAAATGTCTAGGAGAAAAATGTGTACTCGTGTTTGTGCGACGCGCCGCGTGATGGTTTTGCAGAAGGAACGGGTCCGACTGAGTTTTTGCACGGCGTTGGAGACGAGTCTTGTTCGATGGCCTGAAACGTAGAAGATGTTTTCGGAGCGATTCGAGTGTACGATCGCAGCGTGTCACAAGGACGGGATGTGCTGCAGGGTTGCTCTCTCCGTCGAAGGAAGCGGGCTCGTCAAAGCCACAGTTATTTCCTTGACTGATGATTCTGTGGAATGTGCATCTCTTCCTGCCGAAGTTGATGGATGTGGGCCAGCTACCAAGGCCTATGTCGCTGCTGACTTTTGTTACCTCACAATCACTGGAGTGTTCAAGAGCTAAGAGCCTCGCTCGTTGCCCAACTTGTCTTGGTGTGCGTTCTTTACCCGGATACCCCTCTTGTCAACCTGGGCCACTGCGAACATGCTGACCCGGCACGGGCGACCCTCCTGACATATCAGTATATTTCTGCATGTGGTACAGCATGTGGTACAGCGCAAACGGATGGGCGTGTGTTTGTTTGTTTATTTGGTTTTTTGTCTTCTTTTCAAAACAGTGCTCACAGCGCTAGTGCCGTTTACTCCATCCAACCCGTGGTCACACAGAAGGGTCCCTCGCTATCCTCCCCTCCTGCGGTACGATGCCTTTGATTTTTAATGCGAGAAAAGTTCAGCATTCTCTCCCCTCTGTGTCCGCACGAACTAGCGCTATCCACTAGGCCAGGAGCGTAAGCGAGAGAAGAACTCACTTTTGTATGAAAAGCTCACCATACGCCGGGATTCGACCCCTGCCCTGAGCTCTGGCAGGTTTGGGAGATACCAACTAGACCACCGGGGCAACTGGCAGCTACCAAGTGATTCACTACATGGTGACCTCAAGAAGATTGGCTTGGCGGAGGATCGCGATTCCTAATTGTAGGTCCACCTAAAGAGCACCGTACAACCACCAGCGAAACAAGCTCGTGTTTTCCTCCGCTGCCCCCCCCGGTGTTTGCCATCGGGATTGGGTTTTCGTCGCTTGGCAACGACGTTGTTAAACAAGCCAATTCACTTCGTGAACTCGGCAACCAGGT